TGATTGTTGTGTAATTAAACGAAGACTTCCTCCACATCGATTGGCGGCGAAAGCTCCGAAAGCATCGTTAAACTGCTATTGGACAATCTGGTCACAAGCAACGGACACACCTAGTCACGAGCTGCGGGCTGGTTCGAGGACTAACAAAATTTTTTGTTGCAATCTGTCAAGAGATTTTCTCTATCTAAATTTTCAAAGCTGATTACATACAAGCGATTGAAAGAAGTTCGCAGGTGACTGACATAGGTCTATATAAGTGTACGAAAAGAAGTTGTGTCCGTGTCGGTCATATGCTCTTGATTTCTCGTTTCAAATGTTGTAGAGCTTGCCTTCCCAAATATTCCTATCGAGGCCCCGGGGGTAAGCTCTCAGCAGAATCCATTACAGTCAACTTAATATTACCCTATCTTGCAACCGCTTACAATGCCGACAAAAGTACTATGTGATAGGTAAAACGAAATGTTGACCTTTTCTTTTCTGGTATCCTAGCCCAGCTTTTATTCGAAGAGATAATAAATCTTAGAGCTAACAATGAAATTCTTTCTTTTCACAACACTGCGCTTTGTTTCTTGGTCAGGACCGAGGCACTCATGTGTGAACTTTACGGTTCTCTATTGAGCAAGACGGCTTCTTCATGTAGAGTCGAGCTAAATACTTTGAAAGCTTGCAGAGTACAAAAGTTCTTGTAGGTAATGCAAGAATTCTGGCACTTGAGTTATTGTGAAAGCAACTTTTCCTTCAACTTATCTTCTCCATTTTGCTGGAGGAACAAACAAGTCCCGACTTTTGAGAAAAACACGCTTTAATGAAATAACCTGCGCAGTTGATGCGATCAGGGGGAAAATCGTGGAATTAAAGCGGCAAAGGTGAATCGCTTCACGAGGATCATTTGCCACCTTTGTCCAGGCCCTGGTTCATATCCCTGGCAACCCCTTACAGATTCTGTTCATAAACTTTTATCACTGCTGTGTTTGCGAGTTAGATAGTGCCTCAAATGCTTTTGTAAAGTGCATGGAACAAGTTCGAAATTTCGAGAAAGCAAACCCTTCGGAATGTAAAAAGCTATAAATTTCTCAAAGCGGTGCTAACACATTTCCGGGCCAAAAACTAATGTTTTCGCGAAAGGGTTTTTATACTAATATCGGAGTGTGATTAGGATATCATACTACCTTTGGCATGTGCATCTCACTCCAATGATCTCTAAAATCACGATATTTTTCGGGAATTTAGAAAAAGGCAGACGTAGGTACTATACGTTTGGAACAAATTCAATGGTATAGATTCTAGACTGCAATACAAAAGAAGTCATTTAGTTGAGTGATGTCAAATGCTTCTAAATACTGAATCATTTGGAGGGTTTTTTTTTCATTCACTTTCGCACTTGCATACTTCAATCAATCTTGCTATCGTCTCCTTCCCGGTTACGTTGTACGGAACATTTGCAGACATCTGAAGCCGTTAGTGAACTTATTCACCCTCTGGTGCAAGTTAGAGATTACAAAGAACTATGTTTTGTAGTAGAGTTTTGATAAGTCACCAACGCGTTCGGATGTTTGCAAACGCTCCATTCAAACGTACAGCGGGGGTCGCCAACGATACTAGGGGCGTATTTATCAATCCGCTATATAGGAAGTGAATCCTGTACATTTAACAGGCCATGTCGGGCACAGCAATCCGGCAGCGGAGCCCGACCTGTCGAGATCGTGCTCTGCTGCCCGACATGGTCAAACTTGCCAGATCGGACATTCTGAAGTTTGGTGAATCACGCGATTAGCGACCCAACTTGGAAGTGCCTGACTAGCAAGATATTTAGTGTGCTGGTTTCAGAGGATGCTCACATTCACCGGAGACACAGTAGGTGTTTTTAAACAACTAGTTCTTGAGCATGTGGCGCTAAATGTTTGCCAAAATTGAACCTTTAAACGCTTAGAATTTTTTCCATGTTCCGGCATCGCAGAAGGAAGGTGGGTTTGGATCAAGGCAAGACTTTTGTGTACTGTTTCCAAGCGGCTCTTGGTAGAGTAATCTCGATTGAAAAGATTTTGACAATATTAGAAACTCCTCAACCTTCAATAACTTCCTGATCATCCTCTTTTTTATTTCGTTCAATTTCTCTTTTTGAGCATAAGCCTGTCCATGCAAAATTGGTCAGTTGCTAACAAGGGGAATGGTCAGAAATCGAAGTGGCAAATCCAAACAAGCTGCATACCGTTAGATGCAGCGTGAAGCACTGACTCTAAATCTGTTTTCCTTACTTGCTTATCGCTTTTATGGGCGAAGCTATAAGCCACTGAAGACCATTATTTTGCTAAGAAGTTATGCGTGAAGGTGTTTAGCCGTACAAAGCCACGTTCACCTTAATGCTGGGCCAAAACGTGCAGCTGAGCTACTTCAAATTTCTAAAGCCTGAAGCTGAGCTAAAAATGCAACAATGCGCTCAATTTCGCTGTTTTTATGTATGATATTTTTTCACAATAAAACTGCTTGTAGCTTGGTTCACAGAAGCGGGGAGCAGATAAGAAAGACAATCCGAAGTCAGCGTTTTATAGTGCATCGAATGGTATCATAGGTGCGATAGGGGGAGCCGGGCCCTCTCCAGGTGAAGGGGGTCTCTGCTACTCCCATCCTTGTAAGGTGAAGGGGGTAAGTGAGCCCTTAGAGCAAAATGCCCCAACAAGTTACATACCGAAAACTGAGGTCATATAGAATCGACATAGAACGTCGGCTTTTTTCTAGGTCTTTTGTGCCGCGAGATATGAGGGATTTTATGTACTTCATGTGTCAACTAATTTTGTGTCCTCACTTTCTGCTCTCCAAAAGAATGCTACGAGAAAGTCGACGGTCTACGTCTGCTAATGAAGACTTGCTCTGTAACGCAGATAGATAACCAGCAGATTGAGTCTTCGTTTGGCAGAAATTTGCTGTTGAAAATGAACATGATTTCAGGTAAAATGCAGTGTATCTCTCAGTAAAGTGCCGCTAGAAAGAATTCGACGGTCTACGTCGAGTCCCCTTTTCCTGGGCTTTCGAATGGTATATAGACCGCTGAGCGAAAAAACTTGCCAGTTTTTAAAAATGGTGTGGAGGTATTTACTATTAGCTGGCTCCACCCAGCTCCCCCAATGTATTGGCTTTTATCGGTCACCAGAGCAAGTGCTTTTTAGAGCCGGGAAGCAAGAAAGCCCTAACATGCTTTACACCGTTCGAAAGCTGAGATTATGGAGAATCGACGTAGACCGTCTCTTTTTTCATAGCTTCTTTGTAGAGCGAGATACGAGCGATTTTATACGCCTACTCACCAGCTAATTTTGTGTTATTATTTTGTAATTTATTTTTGAAAGAAAGAACAAAGATTAAAAAAAAAGAGACGGTCTACATTTACTGGCAAGGTCTTGCTCTGTGATGCAGTTAGAAAATCAGGCACCTTTATCCATTCTTCACGCAGAAATTTCGCGACAAAAACACACGTCTTTTTGGGTAAAATCCCGTGTAACTCTAAGTAGAGGGGAGCTAGAGAAAAAGAGACGGTCTACGTCGAATCCTTTTTTTGTGGGCTTTCTAATGGTATACAGGTTGTCGGGTGAGAAAACTTGTGGTTTCTCAAAAATGAGGTGGAGATATTCAATAGTAACTTGCTCCACCCCGCTCCGGCTTTCTATGGGTTGCCGGAGCAAGACTTTTTTGGACTGGGAAAGCTTTGTGCACCAACACCTTATATACCATTCGATAGCTAAGAACGCGAGGAATCGATATAGACCGTCTCTTTTTTCGTAGCTTGTCTGTGAAGCGAGATACGAGCAGTTTTATCTAGCTACAGTATCAGCCAATTTTGGATAATTATATTTTCGAACCAAGAAGGTCTTTTTCGAACTTTTATATATGAATCGAAAGCATGAAAAACGAGTAATCTGACTGTTGTTTTGTTTGTTATTATTCTCTCTAGTGAAAAGAGATATGGTATGATTTCTTGTCAGTAAACATGCATCCATCGCTAGTCGGTTCAGATTTTTCTACTCTTGCTCAACTCTTTTTGGCAAAGTATGTATTCATTGATACAATGTTAATTATTCAAAAAATCACCTTTTACTTTTTGATTAAGTTTCGTTATCAACGCCCTTTGAGCGCGCAGAAGGTCTCAAGCATGCGTTTTTCAACGAAACGTTGTTGATTCCATACTCTCTTGCAGTCTTGATGTCTGAGGAGAAGAGCAGCTGGCGTTTCCTTTCCAAACAAAAGTTCCGTTGTAATAGCTGTTTGCCTTGATTAGTCTCAACCTCAGGTGAAAGGGGTCAGCCAGATGCCGGCCCTAAAGTGAAGGGGGTCAGAGAAATTTCTCCACCTATCGCATCTATGAATGGTATACAGCTTGTTTGGTTTGGCCGCTTCGACTTCTGACCATTCCCTTGTAAGGTCTAATGTGGCTCAAAACCACCAATCATGAATGGTCTTTAGCTTTGCAGAGTCAAGGGAAAGTATTAGCAACGGAGAACTTTTGTCTAGAGCATGATCAAACGCAAGCTTTGCTTGCTTCTTCTCTGAAAAGGCAATTACCGATATTTTTCATAGAAAAAAGTTGATGAATTTACAGCTAAACAAGCGATATAGTGGATGACAGATTTGTGTATATTATTGTGCACAACATTATAAATTTTATTTTTGACATAATCTGCGACATTGTCAGTTACAAATGTCTAGGAGTTACATAGCAGAGAAGTCAAGATCATTGCAATCTCGTAATTTCCCTTGCAGAAGATTATTTGTTTGGGTAGAGGACTATATGTCGACGAAAGTGGGAGGATTGGAGGACGATGCAGCAGATATTTAGCCTGTGCATGTAGTAAAAAGTGTATTTGTCGCAGATGGCCGGCGGAACTTTCCACTTCCGTTGACATATAGTCCCCCACCCCATTTGGTTCTCTGTCAAGTTATATCAAAAAAGTTTCGTTTGTTCGCCGTTTTATCAAACGCTCAGTGTACCGCTTCTTGGAATATTTTTTTCAGAAACTTTACATCAATTCGACAAGAATGAGAATTCTCAACCTCACCTTCTTGTTACTTACCATCTTAGTGGTATGTTGACCAAGCAAGACATGACTTAATTTGCGATTTTACTCCTTAGACTTGCTGACTGCACATTACTTTAATGCTTACAGATTCTCTCTGCTGTGGACGTTGGTGAATGCGGAAGAAAATCTCACAGAAAAGTAAGAAAAGGGATAAAAAAGGGAATCAAGAAGGCTTCGAAGAATGTGAAGAAGATTCCGAAAGTCCGCAATGTGAGGAAAATCAAAGATGGAACTGACGATGTGGGGAAAATCGAAAATGGAATTGAAGCAATCAAAGAAAATTGATATTTTGTGCTCGATTGTCGATAAACCTTGGCATTGTGATTCAGTTGTAACACAATTTTTAAAAGGTCTAGCAAAAGTTTGTTACGCGATAAGCCAACGTTTCGGCAGTTCGTCCGCTTCTTCAAGGCTTCCTAAAAAATTGAGACTTTAAAAACTGCCCGCTCAAACGCCTTGTTTGGCAATAGATTCTGTTTAGCTTAATGATGGAGTGGCAGAATAAGAGAGCCTAACTTCAGCCTTGTTAGACCGGGATATAGAGACCGAACAACCAGTACTGCGCTGCAACCGCGCTATGAGTGAGTTAGACATTGCCAACATTGATTTTTATAGTTGTAGAAGATCTTGTATTAGAATCCACATTGTGTTTGATAGGAGAACAGTTCGCTGTTTATGGCAATGCTTTCATCTTTGCAGTTCATTTTTGGTAATTTAGACGCTATCCAAAAGGCTTCCAACGTTTTGTGGAGGTGGCGTTTAAGAAAAACGATAGCTTTTCCAGCCGTTAGCTGACAGTTGCTCGCGCGCTTAACAGCTTTATCTCATTCATTTATGAAATGAGGAAAATGATCTAAACTTCAGTTTGTTTTCATTTGGAGTTCGTTTCCTACAACTATCAAAGAAGCTCACATATTTCACATGCTAAATTGAGCCCAAGACATTTCTATCGCGTGTCTATGGCGATGTGATTGCTAACTGTTTCCATCATTAAAGAATAGCAGAAGCCTCAACATAAAGCATATTTGAAGAAGAATAAAGCTTTGGGCATTTACTGCTCCAAAATGTAGGCCTTGTGAGAGCTCGTTCGCTGCTGGGCGGTGCTACCTGTGCGTCGTTTCCTGACACTCGCGCATTCAGGGTGCCACTATTGCCAGCTATCTTATTCTTGACATATACCCGTTTTGTGAACTATTAGCTTGGATTAGTGCGACAAAGTGCAGTGACCTGAAAGTACTGGTTCCCATGACATAACCTTCGATGTGCACCCAGAGGTGTGGATTGTGGCGTATTTTGGATTTTTTATGGCGTCAAGATGTCCTTTGTTTCTTGTGCACAACCGTCTGCCATTCTTTTATGTGTTGGTCACCGCATTTTTGACAGGTTATGAAATATACCGCTCCTAATTCCATCCAGTCGCGTGGTTCCAGAGCTCATAAGGAAGGCTACCTAACTTAGCTCAGCCTTTTGGTAGAAGGGCTACATATTCTAAATCAGCTTCAAATGCTGATTCCAAATATACTATTCCTAGCTGTCGTGCACCATCTCAGACAATCACAGGCTCTCAGCGGGAAGCGACAGTGAGGCGATGAGGCCACCGCGCTTTTGGTGGGTCTAGGCGGTGGTTTTGTGGCTGCCGGCTGAGAGCATTTGATTGTCTGAGATTCCGAAGCAAGTTATGGGCTATTTCTTACGCAAAATTGGCGTACCACTGAACAAGAGAAGACTGCCTGTAGATAAAAATCTGCGAAAAAAGGTGCTGAGGTGTCAAAATAGTACAAATCCAATCTTTTCTCAATAAAAAAAGCTTAACGCATATATATCAGCACTCAAATAATGATGACGTGATGCCCGTGAGTCGGTGAGCATGCCAATTTTGTGCAGGAAAAAGCCCATAACTCGCTTCGTAATGGCAGCTAGGGATAGCATATTTGAAATCAGCGTTGAAACTGATTCAGACCATATATGTCCCTTGCAAAAAGGCCGAGCTAAGTTAGGTAGCTTCCCTTGTCAGATGATGCAGTCGGCGGTCGTGCACATTCTGTCATAAGCTCGATTGCGGCTTAGTTGTTTTTTTTTGAGAGGTACGGATATCTACAGTTATGACTTTGGAATCTGAAAATTCTCGGCGATGTCGACAAACTCGGCGACTTGCTGACTTTGGCCAATTCGCCGACCTCGCCGAATTCGCCGAGTACAACTGCATGGCATTTTCATAATTGTAGAAAAGCTTACAGATTACTTCAGCATAAAGATTTGGATGAAAAACTTCACACAAGGTTTATAGGTCATATGCTAGCAGCAGAGAGAAGATTTTTGTTTTACCAATTTATTAGTCTCGACTGTGCGAGCGATGCTTATTCAGACTGCATGTGGGAGGCTACAAAAAATATGGCGTATTCAGGTGCGAGAGAGGTGCCTAACGTGATTTTTGGAGGAATAATGGAGCAGCTTTGGAGGAGCCGATCTTACGGTCTGAGCATGCATGTTGGGGAGCTAATAACTGCGAATATTACAGATATGGGGCTGGGGTCTGTTCTATTGGACAGATCTTTGAAAATATGGTTTCTAGAAAGAAGGCCGTAAGAAGAACAAATTTCCAATAAAAGTGCCTAATTGACAGCCGAACTTGAGAAATCTGTCAATAAGGGTGAGTTTGCGCCCTTATATCTCTGCAAGTTGTAGGTTTGTGGTAATCTCATGTGGCCACTGACATGTACTTTTGGTAGCTCTATTTTTCTAGAAGTAGCTCGTGTTCATAGCTCCAGCGTAGGAAGCGCTATATAAAGGCGATGACGCTTATTCTGAATTTCATCTCCGTAGAGAGTAGGGATGTTGAGCTAGGATAGCGTGTTTCATTTTGCATTCGAGGGGTACATGACATAGAATTCGGAGAAAATCCAGGGGAGCCGTTTGTGAGAGGCCATCTACAAAACTTCCAGGACGTTTTTTTCAAGTCTGCCCGCGCGATTTTTTCTCTTTCTCTTCCCTCAATTTTCCCCTCTCTTTATTACTGGAACGCTGTGGCAGTTACCCGGTGGCCATCTGGACCTGGTTAGGCGGCTGAAAGCGGCTAGAAAGGGGGGTAAATAGGATTAGAAAAACGCAATTTTCGCTTAATTTCTTCTTATTTTTCCTTTTCTTGATTTTGATCGTAGTGCAAAGTAGAAAGTGGGCGAGCTTGTTTGGAGGAGTTGTAGTTGTATAAAAGCGCTGAAAGTGAGCCTATTTTACACTTTTCCGATTTTTTCGCTCATTTTTTCGGTTGGAGTGCACGTAAGCGGGTCGAGAAGGGAAGGGGTGGATCTTCACTTGAAGGTGTTTTGAGTGAAGTGAGCGGGGCTTTGATTGGTGGATTAGCGGCAGTGATTGAGAGATGGTAGTGCTAACAATGGGTAAACTGTGGCTGTTGAGGGATGAATGGGCGTGGCTTGTAGTTGAGTGGGCGGAGTCTTGGGAAATGGGCGAAGCTTAAAAAGGTGGGTAGAACTTGGGGTTCAATATTAAGGTTGTGAATCTCAAAACTTGGCAATTAAAATCGAGATTTTTGAGGTTGCGAAAACTTCAAGTTCTCCAAATCTTCAATTCTATCAATTTTAAAGGTTTCGCAACCCGTCGATTTCATCGACTTTGGAGGTTTCGCAACTTCTAGAATATCGATTTTATGATTTTTAGCTGTGAATTGTAAGCCCGCCCATTGAGTTGTCACTATATACCCAATATATGGGTGGAAAGTCACTTAGTTTTGATCTGAGGTCTTCACTTATGTTCTGCGAACGGGATTTTGTTAGGGGGCAACCCATTACTTTATGTAGAAAGAGCTAAGATGAACATCATTCGACACAAGAGCTTCGCGAGTTTCTTGGCAGCTAAACATGAAAAGTTTTTTTTGAAGTGAAGGCGAAAATGGCTAGCAAACTTTGTTACAACCAAAATTTACCTAAAATTTAGCCACCGTTAGACCTACAGAATGAAGCTATCATGGGCAGCAGATGTGTTTGTTGCAATCAGCAGATTGGATAAACTCTATGCTCAATTTTTCTAAGAAGATGGCGCCATTTGTTTCTCGATTTTCGCTCTTAACCTCGCCACTGGTTTTGGCTAAAATATTGATAATCTTGAATTGACCCGAAGCTCCACTCACTGTAGTTTTCAAACCCACTGTTAATGAAAACCCGTTATTTCGCGCTAAGAGGTTACAGTGAAGTTTCAAATGGAAAAAATTTATTGAACCACGCAAGGTTGAAAATTCGTTGCACTTCTCATCCGTCTATCAAAAAACTTGCTTGCGCGTTTTTGTAAATTAAAATCTCTTTAGAGAACGCTATTAGGCCGTGATTAGCATAGGCCCTTATCTGCACTGTTCGTTAAATTATGAGGTTACAAACTCTCGTTCTCATGAATTTTCTCCCGGATTTGAGAATCTTGTATTTTGTGGGATTCTTATCCCTAAAATGTGTCACCAGCAGCAAAACAATGTAAAAATTGTTGACAGCACATTGAGTGATCCATTTGAGCGGAAATTTGAAGATTTACATCATACATGCAGTCAAACAGTCATGACTTTGGAATGTGGAAATTCTCGGCGATGTCGGCGAATTCGGTGATTTGCGTTTTTCGCCGACTTTGCCGAATTCGCCGAGAATTTTTACATTCCACTGTCACAACTGTAAACTTGTGTAGAATAGATTCATGTAAAAATTTTCAAAAACTTATGTGAAATGGAAGTTTTGCTTATCACAGGTGGGCATTAGGTGGGACATTGACCACCTAAATTGAAAAAGTCTAGCACGCTCTTAATTGAGTTTTTCCTAATTTTTTTACACACTTTGTTCCTTAGTCTCACTGCGCGTACACAAACCAAATTTTCATTTTCATTTTCATTTTCATTTGTACGCTCAAGGCGTTCCAATACAAAGGAAAAAACACAAAACACAAATCGAGAAGTTAGTAATACAGCGGAATAAGCAATAAACGAATGCAGACATCATCATATCAATCCGAGTCTAATCCTAGTCAGACTAATGTAAGAAAGATGAAACGGCTTGCACTGAATATGTTGATAGGCTAATAACTAGATATGTATAAATATGTAGGCATTGATAGGCATTGATACTCATAACTCCAAAAGTTATAACTCCAAGGAGATGACCCATGCCCCCTCGTTGCCAGCGGAGCGATCTTTGTATTAAATCTTAAAGGAAACCGACAGCTTATCAGGCGGGTCTACTGGCACAGGTATATTACTCTGTTAAACCAGCAAGCTGTACGAT